ATTTGTAAAGTACAGTTTAATAAAAAAAAAAATACACCTATGGTTGCTATTGTTTTTGGCCACCACAAAAATTTAAAGCAACAAATATGATACAGTTGGCTGTTTTACCAGATGAAGAAACTTGGTTTCAATATCCTTGTGAATCATTTGAAACATTTGGTTTGTCAATATAAATTATATTTTATTTATCAGTGCCTAATACATTTTAATTATAGGCACATATGAAGAAGCTAGAAGTAAATTACCAAAGTACAACAATGATGATGATGCTGAAAGTACGAATATTGAAAACTGAGATCGTGGAAAGCATAAGAAGAAACCAAATACTTGGAAAATGAATTCAGATTCAGAATCAGATAGTTCTAACCTAAAATTGTTCTGATTATTTCATTCAACCTGCTAAATGTGTAGTTGAAGTGTGTGATATTGAAGAAAAATTGCAATTGTCTGCTTCACGACAACTAATGGCAGGTTAAGTTACTCACCCAATTATTAAAAACTACTATAATAAAACAGTAATTAAAATTTAATTTTAATTTTAGATCAGTAGATTACAGCAATTTGGGAGAAGATCAGAAAATGACACTGCCACATTGGTGTTGAGAACATTATTAACAGATCATATGTATCTAACTATAACTTTGAAGGTCAAAATTATGGAAAATACGCTCTCAAATATTTGATAATATTTAGCATTGTAATTGGTAAGACTATTTTAAACTAAAAAGTGTTACTTAATCAATTCAAAGCAATTAATTATGCTATTGTTTTAACCTTTTAAGGTGTAACTATGATGAAACATCCAACAGGATCTGAAGATGTGGTTAGATGCAGAATCAAAAACTGGTTACGCTTAGCATCAGACAAATATACAAATAATAAATAGAAATATAATGTGGTATAATTGTGGTAGGTCAGTAGTGTATATAGTGTATTATAGTTTATAATTTAAGGTTTTTTCCATTTAACAATTTACATTATATTTCATTGTAAGCATAATCAAAAATAGCTTAAAATCTTTCATTACAACAATTTAATTTTGACTTAACATGTTTAACTGTTATATATTTTATCATAATATCATTGACGTATTAAATATTGTATTTTATGGGGGTGTGAACTTTTCCAATCATCAGTTATTTATTTATTGTTATTAAAATAATTTAATTTAGTGTGTTAGTGTTTGTTTGTGAATTGGTTTTATTAGTTTTATTATTAAACATTTAAATATATTTCAGTATAAGACTATATTAAATTATATTAATTAATGATATATCTATCGGATCTTATACAAATAATTGATATTTATTATACATCTCAAATGCTAGTGTGTACACCAATAGACGGCAGTCTTAAATATGTATTTTAACAATATTTATTTAGAATTTAAATAGTTGTCTCACCCAGACTTGTTTTGTAATATACAGATTAAATATTTTACGGACAATGTGGTCCTGACATAGGCAGATATTTGGTTGAATTTGTAGGGACTAAGGGGGCTAGAATAATCCAATAATTCAATTATTCTTCAAATAGTTAAATTTTTTTTAAGGTCAGGGGGCTATTAAATCCCCCCATATTACTTATATTTTTAAATGATTATAATAATAAACAGAGTTATTACCCGTATAATATTTATGAAATAACAAAATAATTGACTAATATTGTTTTATTTTATTTATAATTTTATTTTTACCATTACCATAGATTATAATTACTAGTATTAATGATTAATGCTATTGCCTGTTACCAATTTATTTTGCACAAGATAGTAGAATGGCACTTGGAATTGAATAGTCTGTCTACACTTGCATTTATTTGTTTTTGCAAAGCTGCGTCCAAGTAGAATGTCGATCATATCCCTATTCTCCTAAATTAGAAAAGGAAACATAATAAATAATAGACAATAAAAATAAAACAATATTAGATTATTTTTTTAAAGAAAAAATTCTAAATAAAAATATAACAATGGGTACAAGTCAAATTTTTTTGTTACCTATTTCATAAATATTATGTAGCCATGTAGGTAATTATTATTATAATTACTGTTTTAAAATATGAGTACCTAATATGTTAAAATGTAATAAAATAAATTATTGATATTGCTTTATAATATTCGCTACATAATTATTATATTTGTTTATATTCTCGGTCACATAGCCGTAACATATATTATATTGTATAAATAATAGTTATAAAGCTAAACAAAGCTAATCACAGATCAAGGGGAGGAGTTGCTTTTTTCTGTATCAATTATCAAAATCATATAAAATATCACAAAATACATTTTTTTTAAGAAGTGACTTATTTAACTTGATCATGAACATGCTTTTATACTTAGATGCAATTTTTGATAAAATTTGTAAAAGTACAAACAATTTTAGTTGTAAAAAGTGTATCAATTTCATACAAAATTCCTCATAAGTATAGTTCATATTGTGACCAACAATTTGATGAAATGTATAAAATACATATTATCCACAATTTTGTTTACACCGACTAAGGTAGTCCTTATTTATAAGGAAAAGAAAATAATATTACTGTAACTAAAGAAGGTCGTCAAGATAACACCTTCCGAATTCGTGTATCGTCAATTTAAACAGAAAAATTAAATACAAAATTATGTAATACACAAAATAATGAAAACAATAAAATATAATTTATCAATAGTATCTAATAAGTGGTATGATTATAAAAAGACTAAATAGAGTTAAAATTATAAAGATAAATCGATTTGTGCACTAGTCATATTGTTCTATTTAAACGTCTCGCTACAGCATGATTAGTTATTTGTGTTAAAGTATAAAAAATGTTTAGTAGTTTTAATTCGACAGTGAGGGAAGTAAAAATTGAAACGATTTAGTTTTACTAGAGATTTGTAATATTATAACCATTGATCAATACATTTAAACAAGAATTTCAAATCATTAATAATTCTCTTGGTGATTAAACTAACTATGGTCAACGTATAAATCAAAAGGGAAAGCTCCTGTAATTTGTTTGGGTAGGCAATTTAACGTTCACTCCTCGACAAAATATGTAGTGCTTTCAGTGCCGAACAAATCGCCTATAGTCTGCTGCATGGTCTTAGAATACACGGTTTGCTATATTGTTCATGTGAATCGTAAGGAGTAAAATAGGCAACTATTATAACAATCTCTTTTGTAAATATATGTTGATAAGAAATAGTTCGCTGTTGTCTTGTATTATGGTACATAGCATATTTTGATAAGCATTTACCTACACAAAATGTTGTATTCATTCTCTTAATCTTGTCAGCGTGTTGTAGACAATTAACTACATCATAAAATTAATATTCATTAGACAACATGATAAAATATTTTATATTTTTTACGCACTAAAAGTGCTTTCTGGACCACGACAGTGGGCCGTTTTGACTGGTGACGTTAGGGCGGTGGTGGTTGTAACAGTCGAGTTGTTGTCGTGTCGACCTGGTGCAGAGTGCAGACCCTCGCACTCCGCAGTCCGCAGTCCACAGTAGCCGGTAGGCAGTAGCGCAGTTTGGCGCCGGTTTGTTGTTTGCTGTTGTCTGTCGTCTGTCACTGTGTGTCTGTCTACGGGTGGGCCTAGTTGAATCACAAGTTTTCGGCTCGCATTTTTACAAGGTGAGTACACATGACACCTATTCGATTAACGATTGTCATTGTTCATTATAATACTAGCCAATAGGTTTTTCTTACGGCGCTCACATCATATTATGTTATTTGCCATCGTATAATGGCGACCAGGTAATCACATTTTATAAACAACAAACGATAATCGGGAAATTCGCAGGCACGTGAATATCGTAGGGTACCTCTTATAGGTATAATAGTTATTATGACAAATTATAGTTCGGGTAAGCCGAGGGGCAAGCAGAAGACCAAGGTGGTTTATTATCTAACACAAATAGTGAAATACATAGGTACTGACACATGCTCACATACACATACATATTACATACACATACATACACTGATATACACACACACTTACACCTTCATATACATACCAACATACATACATACAACAGTGGAGATATACAACAAAAAAATTATTTTAAGGATTTAATGAACTCAATATAAATAATCTAAGTATAAAAAATACCATTCTACGCCATTACTTAAAAGAACACAATCTATTATACCCTATAAATCACAAAGTCTGACTCACAATAGTACCGTACCTCGACCAAATCCGAACATTATAGCTCATCCCTCACTCCTTACATCGCCTGTCATCACCATAACCTGGCACACATGAGTTAGCCGCTAGGTCTGCGCAACGGCCGGTTACGGAGTAAACACATGTCTGTTTATGTATGTAGATTGTATTTAGAGGGGATTTTGACAGAGATGTGAAGCTCAGTGTGCATGCGTGAAATGGTACCTTTCTCTCGTGAGACAGACTATAGAAATGCAGCTATTAACTTGTCATTAAAATGGCCAAAAAAAACTGAATTTCGTAAGATAATCGATTTTATTAGGATTCAGATACATATTTTAATGCTCAAATATCTGGCCAATATGTCCCTACTAATGTTTCAAAAATACATGAATACGATGCATAAAAACTTAAATACCATAATTAAATATCTATATTTTAAAATTCCATTTTTATACTCTTAATTGATTTTTTTATATTTTTGATGTTCTAATCTACACTTTTTAATTTAGTGAAGAAAAAAAATATTGTAAACAGGAAAACTCTTGGACCTCGATATCTGTTCTAAAGTTAGTGAAGCCCAGTAATCTTTTCGGACATTAAAATAAATAAAAATACATAGGTACTAACATACATTGTACAAAATTGAAGCAGGTAGGTACCAATTAAACTTGTAGGTCATCAATTTTGCTTGAATTATTTTTTCACCTATGTTCATTATGCTTCCCCCTCCAACCAATGATTGTTTTTAATATTGTAAGGTCCCCATCATATTCATTATTTTCTGCCAATTCAGTATTTTTTTCGCCTTTAAATTATAAATTGTACTCTTTAGTGCAGGTTGTGCCTTATGCAGAGACTTACGAGGTTGCAACTTTGTCATTATATGATACCAAAAAGTGAATGTCCAATCACAATGCGGTTTGATCAACATGGCACTACATACAACATACCTGATAATGTGCATCTACAGAAACTATTATGCCTTAAGGTTAATTATAACTGTGGTTACAGCTTATCAGTTCAAACCAGAGATTGAATCCATTTCAAATTTTAATAGTGACAAATTTCAGTTTTGAGAACGTTTTTCTAAATTTTTTAGGTTTTAAGATTGGTTTTTTATACTTTTGGTTTTAGTTTCTGTTTTAAGAACGTTTTAACAATGTTAGGTTTTGTTTTGAAACAGTTTTTTCATATTTTGTTTTAATTTCCATTTATACCTATAGCCACACTTTAAATGTTCTATTAACTATTAAGAGCTGAGCCTAAAATCCTAAAATATGGCTGATTTGAGGATACACACTTTTTATGTTGTATCTTTATTCCAAACATACGATACAGCAAATTTACATCCAGTACTCAGTAGAACCTATTTCGTGTTGTTAGCTTTATTATGTTATACTTTTCCAAAGAGAAGAGATCATTATTCGGTTACCAAGTTGATTTTATTCTCTAACTGTAATTTATAATAACATCACACTATAATATTACAGTATAATACATTTTTTGCTAGGTATGTGATAAATGTTTATAATACCTATTTGAAAAAAATATTAATTTAAATTGATATTATAAAAAGTGCATTGGACTATTAACAATATTGTTCTCTAAAAAGTTTTACAATTAAAATCGAAATATACGTTAGAAAACTTGGTATACACATTTGTAATTCAGGAGACACATATACACACTATTTTAGTCTTCGATTAAGGAATGTATTTCTCCCTAAAAATGCACTCTTTGAGGTAACTGCTTCTGGTGGCTTTGTGGTAGCTTGTTTTTTGAAAAAAATTCCCCTGGTAGCTACAACAATGGATAACTAATATTATAATTTTGAAGAAATATTCATAGAAATTTTGTGTACTCAAAAATTATTGTCACAATGATTATTAATTATATTTGGTTATTGGAATATATTATGTAAACAAGTGGGAGTGTATATACTACGTGTATGTATAAATGGCTGTGGTGTGTGTGTCTGCAGTATATGAAAGAACATGATTTATCATTATATTTAGCTGTATTATTTATTGATTAGTACATCTAATGGTATTACTTTATTGTTATCTTTCAAACAGAAAGATGTATTCATATGTAAATGTAATGTTCTATATACTATATACAAGGATTTGTGTGTGTCTATGTACATTGTAAAACCACAATATTATCATCATCCTATAATATATAATTGGACTTCTAAAATCACATTCTTTTTTTCAATCCAAAGCTATAATATAGTTTAAACAACTGCCTCATAAAAATTCTAAAAATAAAACAACCACTTAAATTTATTTGTCCATCATTTTTAGAGAACCTAATGATAGTGATTAATATTTTTCACTTTTTCAAATACCTTATTCTATTGCAGTTGTAATATAATCCATCTTCAACCTGCTTTTTTTTTCAGATTTTCCACATTTACTATAGAAGAGTTAAGAACAACAATTATGGATTCCGAGATGAATTCCAAGTGAGCAAAAACACATTAATACTAGAGCTTGTATTTATATGCGATAAAAACCAACCAAATATATTCTAAAAAATCTTTAATATGCATAAATATATGCACTAAAATGTTCAAATATGCATGAACAAATTAGTAAAACGAACATTTATTTTCTGAATATTTAATTAAAATAATACATTTTAAATGATGGAATGCTATTATAAATAATTTTCTTTAAAATGTCTATGTCTTGGACTCAGTTTTAATCTATTAAAAAAATCAAATTGCTATGTCATCATAGGTGCAAATAGGGAGTTACATTGGCGGGGGCTCAAGCCCTTTGATATATTCAACTAAAATTCCCCCCCCCCCTTTCACACGTCACACCAAATAAAAATATTACTATTTTTTTTTTTATTAGCTACGAGTGTAAAATTATTATTTATTAATGCACATAATATTATATTTATTATTAACTAGATAATTGGTTACAATATTAAATTTATTTTTCTGTTGGATTTGGCAAAGTCATTTAAAACTGAGACGCTATCAATATTGATATCTTTTTCAATATTAATTATCCCTAAACTGCTAAATCTTTCTTGGAGCATCGTTGATCGCATCCATGTTTTCAACCTCCTCATTGCGGAAAATGACCTTTCACAAGTAGCAGAATTGATTGGCAAAGTTATTGCTACATTAAATAATTTATAATAATTTGTAAAGATTTGTTTGCTATTCGATGAGTTTAAGTGATTTTGCAGAACTTCCAAATCAACATTAACTTTCAAGACATTTTTGATAACCATCATTTCTGATCTTAAAGAATCTTTGGAAACACCGATTAAATCCTAAAAGTTATTATTTACAAATTAATTTTCAAAAGTATATGGTAAATAAAAAGTAGATTCGAACATTCAATAGCATTGTTCAGCACAATTTATTAATATGAATACATTATAAATTAATATTAGATTTAGTGTTTATAAAAATAAATACTTCTAATAATTCTCATATTACCTTATAATGATTAATGAATTGTAAACTTTCATTAAAGTTCAATTTTAAAAAGTTGTTTACAGATTGGGCTATTTCCATACTTTCTGGTGAAATTCAATATTGGGGGGGGGGGGGATTAGATGGAATCAGGGGGGGGGGATTAGCCCCCCCCCAAGCCCCACCCTATTTGCACCTATGTATGTCATGAACCTAATTGCTCAGTTAATAAATAATACGATCAACCAGGATAAATATGTAAATGTATACAAATCCGCTCTCTAATTATTAGTGTAATATTACAGAATTTTATTTGAACCTACATCTTGAAAGATTTCAATATTTTGTAAAACTATGTGTTTTATCATTGATGTATTATTTCTACATTGTATCTAATTTTAAGTTACCTTAGTAATAAAAAATAATTAATTTTTTTTACAATTTCTTTTAGTGATCCTTATATGATAATTCCACTCATAGGAAGTATTAAACAGGAATTCATTAGCCCAACAGATCAGAATGAAGATAATCTATTACAAGAAAGGTAAGAATTACATAATAATTATAATATCATATCATTTATTATCATTTATAATATATAATTTATAATATCATAATATGACATGAAATACAATGATACTATTATGTCTTGATAGGTATCATATTTTTAAGAATGTGTTTTTTTTTACCAGATAGGTATATTTCAGCAATGAAAAAAAAATATTAATAATTAAAATAATTTTATATTGTTTTCTTATTTTTAAATATGTACAATTCATAATAATTTACAACTTTTTTATTGCACAATCATGTAAAATATTAGATTCCATTAAACACGTTTGTGTAGTCCTCAGCGTATACATTAAAAATATGATTGAGCAAGGCTGGACAAGTTGATTTTTTAGCTTTAGTTAAGTTAATAATTTAAAGTTAGTTCAAAATTAACTATTTAGTAAATGTTAATCATAAAAGTTAAAATAAAATTTTTAACTCAAGTTAAGTTATTAAAAAAAAAACACCATAATTCCATAAAAATTTTTTTTTTGTATCTCATTAATATATAATGCAAGCAATGAAGAAGACGAGTGTCTCCCTTGAGGTACATATCAGATTTTAAGGTTCTAAAAATTGGCCCTCTAGTTACATAGAGTTTCCCATCCCTGCTATAGAATATTAGAATATACTGTCATACGTATTTCAGTATCAGTCAGTTCTCTGTATTGTTTGAATTGGCTTATATTTGTGTATTATTTATTTTTTGGTTGCTATTTTTGTTGATTTTAAGGCATTTTATAGCATATTTTTTTTTTTTTTTTGATCATATTACAGAGCTAATCTTAGTATTTTTAAGTGTTATGAGATTTGAATCCTGCCTATCACAATTAAAATGTGATTTTTATAATTGTGAATTAGTTCTTAGTTATTCTACAGAAAATTTAACAAAATTGTATTTCATACCAGTCTTTGGTTTTTTGTATCAGAAACTTAATATTTATTTGTATTATTGTTTTAAACCATCATCTTCATCAGTTCCAGTTAATGTTTCTTAAATGTCTTACCATGGCTTATATGTTTGTAATCATTATACAATCTTGTAGGAATAATTTTATAAAGTCAATAAACTTTTGGGACGTTATTTATATTTGAAAAATGATAATGATAATCAAAAAACAACTTGAAAATGTTCTTCCCTTTTAAACTGAACACTTTCAATTTTTGTTATTTGAACAACTTTTGTATGGTTAGGCTCTAATTTCTTTGCTATAACTGAATTTATAAATACCTTGTAATCTAAAAAATCATTGAACTTCATATCTTTCACTTCTGGACCTTGATTTTTTCTTGAATTAGGAATCAATATTAGGCTATTCTAGTGGTGCCCAAAATATTTTTTAAATGAACATAAGTAGCATGAGCTTCATCTATAGACATGTACCTAAGTATGGCCTGGAACTAAATAAATTATTTTGATTGAAGTCATATATTTTGCTTTATTAATGAAGTCATGTAACATTCCAATCACTGGTTCTGGTTTCGGCTACTGCAAGAATCACAATATAATGCAATAGATTTAATGGATTTTTGTCTATATACATTAAACAAGTGTGCATATAGGTGGCTATTTTATTGCAACCTTTATTAGCATCTCTTTTTCCCTAGAGTAACATTCCAGTCTTTTTGTCACAAATTTATATACCTTTAAATTATATTGGGAATACATACAGCTATAATATATATTCATATTATTACTGAAAGATGTATTCCAAACCTTTTATAAATCAAAAGTAATGCATAGCAAGCTTTTGTAGGATTATCATTATATCATCTATTTTAATGTTCATACTAGTTTGATTGCTATCGCTTCGATGTGGACTGAATCGATACTTATCACTCTACCACTTATTTATGGTGAAATACTTGTGAGTAGGTCTTTCAACTATTCGACCACAAATAAAAGATTTGTGTAAAAAAAAACAAGCCCAAATGTCACATTAGTCCCATAAGTTCTCTAATTTTTAATAAATCTTGATAATCAAATAATATGAAGTAATAATTAAAAATACAAATATATAGTTAATGTTCAATGTAATAATTTGTTTTATAAAATATAATATTTGTATATACTATATACCTAAGTCTTTCTACTTTTGTTTATACTTATGCACTGCTGAATAAAACCGAAGTAGTCTATTGGCCCTATAGACTACTAAACCTAACCCTATACTATAGGGTACCTCCGGGTTTTTAGAAAATGATTAAGCGTGCCGTGAGTCAAAAAAGGTTGGGAACCTCTGGTCTAATCTATTACTCGTCTTCGAGCCCTAGAGTGTAGTTTTTGATGTATTTGTTTTCAATAATTTTTTTCCAACTTAATGGGATCTTGAATCACTTAGGGAGTATTCTAGATATGGTGTTTTTTAACAACTCTAGTGTTTTGGTAGAAAAATTAGAAATTATCTCAGTAAAATGTGATCCATATCACCTGTCTTTGTTATTACATTTGATATTAACTAAGACCTTCTACTTTTTGACAACCCTCAAATATTTCCATAATTTATGCTATCCTGACATATGTTCTTTTTTCATGTTTTTCAATTGGTTAGAAACTACAGTGTCTCTTGATGTGAATCAGGCTACCAATGCATTGTATACTGTTCTGAAATTCTGTGACCTGTTTATTGAATTTTGTTCCCAAGGTTAGTTATAATCCATCTAAATTCCCTCTGTGTTTTTCTAAAGAACTCCTTTATAGTCTTTACTATAAAGTGTGCTCATGCCAAATATGAAGCGTATCGTTGTGCCCAGAGATTTTAACGAGTTTTCTGATCTTCAAGCACATTATAAATTTGAATACAAAAGTTGTTATAAATCGTTATTAACTCAAATCTAGTGTAAGCTTAAAACCAATCCTTGATTTTTTTGACTTTGTCTTAAAGAATCAATCCAGTGAAGAGATTCTATGTACTATTCATCAAACTTAACTTGTGTGTGTGTGTTTAAAACTTCAAAATTGTTGGTCCTAGGTCTTTTTAAACTGGGTAGCCCATTTATCTTGGTTCAAATCGTATTTATGTGGTTAGGTTCCAATATGTTAATTCTTAAGATGTAACTCTGAAGAAGTCTGTGTACCTTCAGGTGTTCCTCAAGGGGGACATTTATCCCCTTTGTTGTTTTCTTTATTGGTTAATTGTCTTAAATTAGTCATCGTAGAGTCTAATTTCCTTACATTTGCTGACGATTTTAAAAATTTTCTGTAAAATTTAGTTTGTGACTCATTGTGTTTGTCCTCCAGAAAGAGCTTGATGTTCTTGTCTTGTGATTTAATTCTATGGGACTAAGCTTCAATGTAGGAAAATTTCAATCCTTATATTTTGTTAGGCATAAAAATATCATTAACTGCACGTACTTGATAAATAGTTAAAGTATTAATATTGTTTCTAGGAAAAAAGACTTGTGGATTATTTTTTGTCCAAATTTTGAATTTCATTACCAAATTGAAGCAGTTTGCTGTCGTTCGTTGAAGATGCTTGGCTTTGTTAACATAATTTAAGCTCTTTAGTTCCCTCAAATTCTAATATTGCTCTCTCTTACGGCCTCTTTTAGAATATTCTTCTATTATATGGGACCCTTTTACTGCAGTCGATTCTTCTCACATTGAGCTGGTCCAGAGGCGTTTTTTGTTCTTCATCGAGTTACAAATGTTAAAAATATTCAATTTTTAAAGCTAATGATTGAAATTTTAAAAGAAGGTTTTTCATAAGTCTTAAGTTATTCATATTGTATGTAATAAAAGAATCCAAAAAAATCTAAACATAGTTTGTATAGATATTTTAATATTGAATTTGGACAAAATTAGATATTTAAACAAAGAATAACAATTTATTTATTTTGTTGTAATTAAAGGATATTATGCGTTGGCACTTAAAACTTTTGAAGTACTTATATCATTTAAATTTTCAAAATATACAATTTATTTGGCACAAATTAATTCAATCTTCTGTATACATGTACTACGTTTTCTATTTCCACTGTAAGGAATCCTAAGTACTGATATTAATATTTTATTATGATCGTTTGAAATCAACTTAATCTTAACAGTTTATTAGTTAGGTATATTGCTGTAATATGTAACTTCAACCTTTTAAATAAAAACTTTAGTTTTTTCCTTTTAATAAATGTTATGAGCAATAATTATGATAAAAAATTATCGAACTAATACATGATCAATCTATTTGAACTCTTAAATAAATTACTATTTCTTTAATCAAGTTGTCGGTAGAAGAATTCTTACTTTATTGTTTTTTGTATGTAACATATTCCGAAACAGCAAACAGTTGTATTGTATCCAAAATGTTATTATGATTTTGAATTTCATATATTTTTTATTTTACAATATAGTATACTGATTAAATTTGATTCATGATGCATTTAATTTGTATTACCCTGTCAGTTATCTGTCTGTAAATATTTTTTCTTATTTTTATCCTATTAAAGTAAAACAATAAATTGTTCTCAAGTGTAAACGTTGCACTTATGTGTTAACACTATATAGTTATACGTGTTTCAGATAATTTTTATGAAAATTACAAACATTAATAATTAAATATATTATAGAGTGTATTGAAATTAAATCTGATCTATTGATATATACACAACTTTAAATGTTGTAAGTTATAACTGATGAATAAAACTAAATAAACTAGATAATTACATCAAATACATGATTAAATTTAATAACAAATTGTTTAATTATAAAGTAAATAGGAACTGATATAACTTTCAAACATACAGCTCCTTGTTTATATAAGCTTATAATATAACAATAATTAATATTCAATTTAAATGAATGGAACACTTGGTACCTACTTGAAAACAATGATTAGACCACAATATGTGTGTTTGGTAAGCGGAGTAAACAATTTGAATTATATAATTTTACTACAAAATGGTTATAAAATTTTTCAAGAATTTTGTCCTAAACTTAACTTGAAACGTTTATACAAATATGATATTATATTGATGTAATATTTTGGATGTATAAATTGGTTTCTATGTTAATTCCTTAATTATTATATTTAAACATAATATGTGGTTATAATTATTGTCTTTTCTTTTGCAAAGGTAATAATTCTTAAAACACCTAATTTTATTTTTTTCAGAACGATATGTAAAACTGAAGTAAAAGAAAATGAAAACGATACTAAAATAAAAATTGAAAGAGATGTTATTGATGGTTATGAATTTATAGGAACAGTGGTTACTGAAGAAAACTCTTCACAACTCATTGCGGATATGAATTCAGACATAACACCTAGATTAAAACATGTGAAGAATCATATCAAAAAAAGAGTTAAGTCGTTAATTTGTGATATATGTAAAAAATCATATTATAATAAATTAACTCTAATAAAACATTTACTACGTCATAAAACAAAAAAACACCTGGAATGTACCATCTGTGAAAAAAGGTTTTCTGTGGTAACAGACCTTACTAGGCATATAAGAACACACACTGGAGAAAAACCATATAAATGCGATATATGCGACCAAAGATTTTCTCAGAATGGAGCTTTAAAAACCCATACAATGACACATACCAAAGAAAGGCCATATAAATGTGGTACCTGTGGTAAAGGATTTTCTACGTCTTCACAACTAAAACGCCATATCAGGATACATACTGCTGAAAAGCCATTCAAATGCAATGTTTGCGATGCACGATTTTCTATAGCATCAAATTTAACAAGGCATAAAAAGTCACATACTGGAGTACAACCGTACAAATGTGATATTTGTGATCAAAGATTTACTCAGAATGCATCTTTAAAAATCCATTTATTGAGACATAACAGAGAAATGCCACATAAATGTGATATCTGCGGTAAAGGGTTTTTTACAACATCAGAATTAACAAGCCATTATAGGACTCATACTGCAGAGAAGCCTTATAAATGTGATATTTGTGATAAACGGTTTTCCTTAGCATCAAATTTATCAAGGCATATAAAAATACATACCGGGGAAAAGCCATTCAAATGTAGTATCTGTGACCGAAAATTTTCTGAGAAAGCAAATCTAACACAGCATTATAAAAGGATACATAACGAAAAAAAGATATTTCAATGTAATAGTTGTGATAAAAGGTTTTCAAAAGCATCAACATTAAAAATGCATAAAAAAATACATACAGGAAAAAAAGCCCGTTGAAAATGTAACGATTGTTATAAAACGTTTTCTTGTAAATATTCTATAATATATACTATATATATACTTTAAGCCATATAAATGTAGTAAGCATCTATGATTAATTTTTATTTCAAAAAGTACAATTAAAAAAGACATATTTTTACTCATGCTTGAGAGAGGAGTTAAGGACATTGGATTTTGTTCATTAAAATGTTTAGTTTTTAAATATTTTTTTTTTTAATATCGCTGTAGATGCGCATATTCGAATAGTGTATATTGATAATAATATGTTATTGATGTTTAAATCTTAATTTGTCTTTTTTAGTGTAAAAACAAATATGTTTAGATTTACTTAAATGATAAAAGTTAAATTATTACTAAAACAACCTTTATTTACAATGTATAGAATATTATATAACCTGAATCAGGTATAATATGCTGTTATAGCATGAATATTAATTATGAAGGTCAGGGCTGAGGACTTCTAGTATTTAAAATGTCTATTGTCGTAAGAATTTGCACCTAAGAGAAACTATGTTGTTGCTGTCGTACCTACACGAGGCCTAGTAGGTAAAAAAACACGTAAGTTCAAACATGGTACAAAAAATTACTTACCTACGTTAATTTCTACACTGACCATTTATCCGTTGTTATTATTAAATTATGAAGGTTGGTATGAACTAGGTGTTTATATTTCTTATTTTTATAATAAATAATGTATAATATTAAATGTACTTAATCATACTGATGATATTGTTTAAAAAAATGTAATGTATGGTGTTGTGCCAATGATTTTAGATATTGAAATGGATTCAAATAAAATATATGTATTGAAACTGAACATACTTTATTTTATAATTAATAATTATCATAGTAGACTCGATGTCACCTTGACATGAGAGTAACAAGAACATGACTAATGTGCAGCGTTGCGCACCACATCTAAGTGCGGTGCTTATCACATTTAACCAAACATCATTAAATATGTTATATATCATAATACACTTTTTTTAAGTGCCTATAAAAAAAAACAAATTCTTAATCTTTAGCTTAATCAAAATATTATAAACATTAATATATAATAATTACTTAAATATAATATAATATAATTGATACATAAAAATATTAAATTATTATTGATTTTTTTGATTAAACCTATTTCCTCATAAAATGTGCTTAATTTGATTATTTGGTCAACATGTCGTTTGAAATAACTATTATTTATTATATCCTTACAGATATATGTAGAATTACTCAACTGTTCATCAATGATGCATGCTTTCCAACCTTTTTTATTAGGTTTACTGTAGTGCCTAATGTATACATTTTCCACAATTTCAAAACTTTTGTTGTCCACTTTGCCTCTTTAATTCCTGATTAAGAATTCAAATTTAGGATTCCATCTATTTATCGCCTTGTCTATGTTTCATCCATTTTTCTTATCTTATCAAATTTGTTTAAACATTAGTTTAGACGGTGTGTAACCAATTGTGCAGTGATCACTATTTCTATAGAAAAATAAATATTTCTATCAACTGGGTGAACTGATATTTTACTTTCTTTAATGATTTTCTTGAAACCTAGTTTAAAGTTTTTAAATGCATTATCTGCTGCACCATTGCTAGAAGGGTGAAATGGAGTTGAAGTCAAGTTTAACTCATTCGGTTATAAGACTCACTTAGTGCTGGTTCCAATGTGAGTATTATAAGCGGCGTCCACTGTATATGTAATACTTTTGGCCGTTTAGTTAAAATACATTTTTGTAGTTCATGCCTACTTTCTAAGCATGGATTTTTAGCTGTACGTTCAATATCCAAATCAATTAATGCCCACCAAAAGTATGAACGAGCCATACATTTTATTTTAACGATACCAAGATGAGAAACTATGTAATTCTTTTAATAATAACTCCTAACTAGAACATTATCCTCTATCATTAATTTATTTTTTCTATTATAAAACGGTTTTAATTCTTTAGGTATATCCTTTGGCCAATTACCAGTTAAATAACACATTACTTTTTGTAAAATTTTGTCTTTAGCCGTTTCAGCTTTAATTTGTAAGACACTAACAAATTAAAAAAAAAACAAACTAACAAATACTCTTCAACCCTATTTAGTAAATTAGTATCTTTACCTACATTTGTTAACTGATCATCACTATGTTATGTTGATGACAAGGAGACGGTAGGTTGTTTTTGAGTTTTCCATGCTATAAGGCATCCATACATTTTGAAACAATAACCTGTTATTGACTTGCGGTCGGTGCCATTTGCCCAGTCGGCATCTGCGTATCCTATTATTGGTTCTGCACTGTTGTGGAAAAGTAAGTCCAAATTTAAAGTACCTTTAATGTACCTCAAAACTCTCTTTAAATAGTTCCAGTGGGTGTCAGTAGGATTTTCTTGGAAACGACTTAGGTGGTTGACTGCATAACAGAGGTCAGGTCGTGACATCATCGCTACATAACTAAGACATCCCTTAGTTCACGGTCTGGATGCGCTGTCTTTTTCTCTTTGACGCCCTCGAGTCTTAGACGGGTTTCCATAGGTGTTTTAGAGGGCTTACAATTTTCCATACCAAATCTCTGTAGTACACTGTTGAGATAAGTCGTTTGATTGATGCTTATGGTCTTTCTGTTTAAGTCCCTCTTGAAGTTGAGACCTAGAAAGTGCTCACATTGGCCAAAGTCTTCCATGTCAAACGTCATTTGTAGTTTTTTTCTTGATGCATTCGATGGACGCTATGTCAGCGCCTATGATTTATATATCATCAATATATGTAGCAATGAACAGACTATCATTGGAGTTCTTGTACACACAATTGTCAGATTTAAGGTGATTGAACCCATTTTTCGCCAGCATTTGGTCACAGCTGTAATTCCATACACGAGCTGCCTGTTTTAGTCCGTTGCTTGATTTACGTAATTTGCATACCAAATTTGTGTTTGTTCTGTAACCCTCAGGTTTACACATGTACACCTCTTCATCAAGGATTCCGTTAAGGAAGGCTGTGTGGACGTCCATTTGATGTATATGCATTTTTCTGTTATTTGCTATGGCTAGGAGTGAACAAATAGTAGTGATGTTTGTCACTGGTGAGTAGGTTTCATAGTAGTCAACTCCATGTGTTTGTGCATATCCTTTTGCTACCAGTCTTGCTTTGTAACGGTGTATTTTTCCGTTTGCATCCTTTTTAATTTTGAATGTCCATTTGCATCCTATTGCTTTCTTTCCTTCTGGCAGTTCGACAAGTGACCATGTATGATTTTTGTTTAGAGAGTTTATCTCTTTCTTCATGGCTTGTTCCCATTCTGCAGATTCATTCCCGCCGATCGCTTCTTCGTATGAGAATGGTTTGCCTGTGTTTTATATTATTGAGGAGTGCGCTGTGTGGTAGTCTTTGGTCCATAACGGTGTTCGTGTTTCCCTTATTGGACGTGTAGACTTTTCAATGATTGTTTTATTCAAATCAGTGTCAGAGTCATAGTGCTTTTCATCGTTTTCTGCGCTGGTTACTATTTCATGTTGGTCATCGACAGCTTGTACGATTTTTCTTTCTTCAGGCATTTGGTCGCTTTCCATAAAAACTCATCAAATTTAATATTCCTACCGATGATGATTCTTTTGTCCTTAGAATCCCATAAACGGTATCCGTGGTTGTTGTGTCCTATCAGAGGAAATAGTTCAGATTTTTCATCAAATTTATTTCTAGTATGGTTAGGTTTAAGTAAGTAGTCTTTGCATCCAAATACACGAAGGTAGCTTATATCTGGCTTAAAACCAAACCACAGTTCTGCTGGTATAACGTTTTTTAAAGCTGTTGTATACGACCTGTTCAATAGGTATGCAGCTGTCTGTATTGCTTCGTTCCACATTTCTTTTGGGAGATTGCCTTTGATGAGTAGAGATCGACCTTCTTCACATAAGGTTCTGTTCAGTCTTCCTGCGTGGCCGTTTTGTTGTGGGCAGTATGGTGATGTGTATTGAATTTCTATTCCCTTCCCCTCACAGAACTCTTTAAGCGCCTTTGATGTATACTCACCACCATTGTAGCATCTGAGTTTGGACATTCTAGTATCAAAATTAGCTGCAGCGAGTGCTTCAAATCTTTTCAGCTTGTTGAAAGTATCAGATTTTCCCTTTATTGGGTAAACTATGGCGAAATGTGTAAAGTCATCGATAAAAGACACGTAGTAACGCTCATCTGACCAGCTAGTTGGGGTAATAGATCCGCATACATCCGTATGTACCAGTTGTAGTGGGCGTTTTGCCCTTGTGCGTGTGCCATTGAATGGGTTTGAGGATTGTTTTCCCTGTCGTTATCAAGACGCTATTACAGAACCTTTATTTTTGATAATGACTTTACCATTTTTCATACTTATCTCCATACCAGCCTTTTCAATTTTTCCTGTGGACAATATGTTTTGTTTTAACTTAGGGACGAGTGGTGAATTTGCAGATATTCGAGTTTGCATTAAATGAGCAGTCGATTTCACCGACGTGTGTCGCGCACATATTCAGGTTAGACTGCTACTCCGATCAGAATGTTGTTCAAAAGAGGTTTTGATCGTGATAACAAACTTTTATCATTGCTACCAGTTGGTTGTACGTTTTTTCTTCTTCCATGACTGTTGGATCGGGGGTTGTTCACTAGTTAGAGACGCGATATGGTCACCATCTTCGTTTTCGTATCCGTTGTCGTTGGCCCAATTTGCCTGCTGTCTATTATAATTACCTTTTTTTTTTTGCTACGATTCTGGTCCGCCGTGTATTTTCTACATTGAAACTTCTTATGTCCAGGTTTCTTACAGTAATAACACGTAAATGTGCTAGATTCAAACGCGGCCGCATCTACGTTCATGTTTTTGTTTGACGTAGTTGATACTCTTTACACTCTCTTTTAGCTACTTCATCAAGTAATCGCCTTCTTACGAAGTCAAAATTTATTTTGTCGTCTGATAATGTTTCGATGGCCGTTACCACGACGTTGTAGGATTCTGGTAGCGTTAACAACAACAAACATGCCACCATCTCCTCCTCAAGTTTTGCAACCCTCAACTTTCGTTTTCCTAACTAGGTCGTCAAAACGAATTAGAAAATTCTCCATGGTTTCCTCTTCTTCCATAAACTTTAGCGTGAGCATTTTCTTTAATAGAAATAATTTGTTTGACGTACCTCTGGGTTCAAACGTTGAGCATAGCCTTGACGTATTCCAAATGTGAGTCCGCCACACATTGGAATAACAGAGCTATGTCCTTTCCTATGAATGCCGCCTTAGCAGCGGTCTCCGACGGTGCTCCGTTGCTGCATTGCAACAATCTGGTTGTCCGGGAGTGGGCATTCGACATGGTTTTTGTTACTTCCGCTTGCCACCCCGCCGTCATTATCCAAGCCCTAAGGCAACCGGACGGCGTCTGGTTCGTCATTACGAACAATTCCGCGATCGTTGCATCACCTAAGTAAAAATATTGAAAATCGATTGGCAATTTATCGTCATAATTCTAATTCTAATTCATTTTATACAGGTCCAAAAATGCTGTTTGCATTGTCAATCATGGTGGATATTTCTATGTTTGTT